TGACGTGCTGTTCTGCATCGATACTCCCCACGGGGCATCACGCCGTCGTGTCTTTGCAGTGCAACTCTCGTGCTTCTTCACTGCACACGTGGCTCTGTCATTTGTCTTTTTTGCAGCGCCATTGCCCGCGGTACCTCATTGGGAGGCTGTTCGCTTTTTAAATACTTTACATTTATTTATGCTGTTGGGGGTACTGGGGAATAATGGCTGCGGGGATGGTGCCACTCACTGTGGATGGGTGACGGTGTGTACCGTTGTTGTTTTCTTTCTGCCGCCGCTGCCTTCTCCAATTCTTGGACAGACACGCTAGGAAAGCAAGAAAACAAACGCCAATCGCCACTGTGAAATTGTAAGGCACTGAAAGGACCAACAGCACACACACATATATGCTCTCACGTGTTGCTGCAGTGAAGGCACCCCGCACACACAACCGTCGCCGAGTGACCGGACCCAGTGGAAGGAGGAGGGAAGGAAGAGAGAGTGAGCCGCAGAGGCCCAACATGTCCCGGCGTGTGTTTACTTCCGCGGTGCTTCCTCTCTGCTTTGTGCGGATGTGCTGCGGCCCTGTGGAGCTGTTGTGGAGAGTAATTCAAATTGTGTAATTATCTTTCACTGGAGAGGAATCAATTTATGATTCAATGGATCCCACGAGGGTGGTCAGTTGTGATTTGTTACGTGTAACTTTTCTTTTTGGAGTGAGTGGTGTTGTTGTGGCCGTTGCTGAAGCGCATTTCAAAAACAACAAGGATGGCAAATCGCGTGTTGGCATTGCTGCAAAGTCGATGGAAGTCAATGGAGGGACGTGGGCGAATGGAACTGGCATGATGTTTGATTATTAAGAAATTAAAGTTGACCGCCTATTGAGCCCAACGACTATTATGGCTGATGGGGAAACATGTGCTCTTGTCGGGGGTTATGGCGAGTCAGGGGCTCCATGGACGAAGGTGGCTGTTGATGGCTATTGGTCGTCCAGGTATGCGAGGAGCACCGTTTTCTCTGAAGATGACGATAAGTATAAGAGGGAGTTTGAGTGGAATCAATAAACAACTTTGGGAGTTTTTCTTGACAGCTTTTTGAAGGATTTCAAACCCAATGCCGAACCCCACAAACAATTTCTGGGTGGTGGCGGTGCACGCATTCGGCTGGAGGACGATGATTCTTATGTGCTGCCCATTCAAGCACTTACTAATGGTGGAGAGGTCGTTTCGTTGATCATACTCGCCAACGGTTTAGTGTATGATAAGGAGTTTTCAAATGATAGGAGCCATGGGGGCTGCATCCAGCCTGCGACGCTTGAATGGGAGGGCAAAGGTCTCCGCATGATGACGTCGTGTGAGGACGGCAGCCGCAGGGCTTGCAGGGCGGACGGAAAGGGGGATTCGGTGGACGGAGGCATACGACACTATTTCAGGCGTGTGGGGCAACTCACGGACACGAACAGGGCACGGTGTGCCGGGTGGCTTCGTCAGCGCGACGATCGATGGACAGAAATTCATCCTCGTCAGCCGGCCGGTATAATCTGGGAAGGAGGGAGAAGAAGAAACGGTTCGGCTTCACTTGTGGCTGACGGACATGTGCTGAATTTATGATTTTGCGCCGATATCCGCTGAGAATGACAAGTTTGCCGCCAGCACTCTGCTGTACACCGCAGAAAAAGCGTCATTGCGTAAGGAAGCAAAGAAGGAAAAGTGAAAACTGCGCTGCTCGTACGAGGTCGCTGCCGCGGAGGGAGGTAAGCAGTACAACATTGCTTTTTTGGACTTGACGGGGAATTTGAAGGAAATGAAGAAGGTTTTGGCTGCCTGGAAGGAAAGGGACGCGTGCATTGCGAGGGAATACGGCTGCGGGAATGAAAAGAATGACAAGAAGCGCAGTGGTTGTGGCGGTGACTTTGGCAAAGGGCTGGTTGTCTTTTTACCCAGCACGTCAACTGTGAATACATGGAGTGGCGAGTGCCCCTGCGTGAATGCAACCGTTCACTGGGCAGTGACAAGTACTCCTGATGGTGGACTGACGTTCCAAGGGTCTAGAGCGTGGGCGGAGTGGCCTGTTGGCAAGCAGGGGCAGAATCAGCTGTACCACTTCGCGAACTACAAATTCACTCTTGTGGCGACGGTGTCGGTCCCGGAGGTGATGGAGGGCATCGGCAGCTCCTTTCCTTTGATGGGTGTGAGGATGAATGACCACAAAAGCACGCTGCCCTTGATCTGTTGTACGCGAAGAAAAATAAGTGGGAGATAATCTTCAACGGCAGTCGTTTGTCGCTGCCGGCGGATGCCAAGTGGGAACTGAACACAACACATAGGGTGGGACTGGAAATGGATTACTTTAAGGAGTTGCTTGTGTACGTGGATGGATTGACGGTATACGACGGTGGTGGTGAGGATTACAGCTTCTTTGAAGAGACAAAAACAAATTTGGGGTTTCACAGCGTCTCACACTTTTACATTGGCGGCGACGGCAAAAGGGACTCAGGTAACATTCATGTGACGGTGAGCAACTTCCTGCTTTACAACCGCGCGTTGTACGATGACAAGCTTAAAGCACTAATGAAGACGAAAGCAGTCGCTGCTTCAGAGGCGAGGGTGCCGGCCCCGAAAGGTGCGCCTGAAAGCAGCCACGCAAGTGAATCTTCTGAAGAGCCTGCCAATGGGTCCGTCGCCATGGATGAAGCGCGGCAGGAAGCCACATCATCATCACCGCAAAGACAAGACTCACCAGCGCAACCATTAGGAAATAAGAAGGGCCCAACAGTTTCCAGGCAAACTTTTTCTTCTGACGTAATTGGCCTTGCCACCCCAGCTGCCAAGGGGGAAATGGAAGAAGAGGCGGCGAGCAGTGGTGGAATGGCGCCTGCGTTGTCTCCAACACCGAGCGCGGGCAGTCGCCAGGAGGTACTTGAAGCCAGGAAACCTTTCGGTGGGGAGCGCCCTGAGGGTGGCCGGGAGCCCTTGCCTCCCAACTTGGCTGCATCGACGATGGGGCAGGCGGGCAAGGCGGATGAAGGCTCTCTGCGGAACGGAACCGAAGACGATTGGACGCAGCACAGAATTTCACTGTATGTTTTGAGGAGCGTGCACAACGAGCCGGCCAATGCCGACACGCTCACGAGCGAAGAACAAGACGCTGACCATGAAGAGGACACGCATGTCCGCACTGCCGTGGGCACGAACAGCGGCCCCGATTTACTCAACGGCACTTACGCGACGCCCGCGGATGCCACCACAGCCACGCCTGCGTTCAACAGAGACCAGACAATTGTTCGCCACAAGGATAACGTGTAGGATGACGTTGGTGCTGCACTGACTCCCACGAGCACAGCGCTTGGGGGGACAGAGACCCCATTGGAGTCCAACGCAGCGCCGCCTTTGGGCAACGACATTTTTGATTCGGAGAATATCACCGAGTTGATGTCCATTGGTTTAGTTGGCGACAGCACCGTCCATGGATGTGTGTCTCGGGCGTTTCTGCTTCTGCTTTTGGGACTGTGTGGAGTCGTGGCAGGCTCATGAGCCAAAGGGTGTGGATGTGCGGCTCCTCACGGAGAATATTTACCGCTTTTCCCGCGGTCCTTCTTTTGTTTTGTTTTCTATAATATATATATTTTTTGATGTTACATTATCATTGCCTGCTGCTGGTTTTCTACTGGGACAATCATCACTTCTGCTCTTTTCTTCTCTTTAATGGTCGGTTGCTGCATGCCGTCATGAGTGACGTGCTTCCCCTCTTCTTTGATTTTTTTGCCCACACGCGGTGCCGACCTCACTGCTGTGCCGTCCCACCGACCGCACAAAAGGAGGAGTGGAGGGGACAGGCCGGAGGCCGCATGAAATGTGAGGGATTTTGTGTGGACTCGTGGAACAGTGTGCTCTTTTTAAAATATATTTCGTTAATTTCCTGTTTGTGTGGGTCATACGTAAGTTCTGCCGGAGCCTCACCATTTTTTGTTTTGTTTTTGCCCCTTTGGTGAATCCCAGTGGCTCGTTTCTGTCTGTGCCGTGCCTAGTGTCACTGGGGTTTTCCGTGCCGACGAGTGTGTGCGGAGGGAGCAACGCTGACGGTGACAGTGGGAGTGTGGGGAAGGGGCGTGGGCGATGAGCGCTCATTGTTGTTTGTGTTGTTGTCGTTTTACTGCGCCCTCCTTCTTGTTGTTGTTGTGGTGCGTGACTCTCATCGCTGGATGGGACGGTGCGTGGTTGTTTGACTTTTTTCTCTCCTTTGTTTTTTGCTCTGCGTTGACGGGGAGTTAGTTTGTGCTGAGGGCGGCACGCAAGTGACAGGAGTGATGGCGATGATGATGACAGGCCGTGTGCTGCTGGTGTGTGCCCTCTGCGTGCTGTGGTGCGGTGTATCGCCCGCCGCTGGTATCCTTCCACTTCACGGAGGAATGGTTGTCCGCGGTGCGACATTCAGTCTTGATGAGGCTCAAACGGAGCATTGGAGACGCAGCTGCGAGTGGTGGTTTGTGGCGAGGGTGGCCGCCCTGACGTGCTGCCAGCGTGCGGTGCCTCGCGAGGAGGGAGGGCGGGAGCCCGCAATTTGTCTCGTCGACTTGTTGCAGGCGTGATGGTGGCGGCGTGCAGGCCAGTGAGTGGTGTGGTGCTGAGGGTGCCTGGGAAGAGTGCGGATGGATTCATGCCCAGCAGCTGCACGTGCCGGCGTGTTCCTCCCGCTGTGGATTTGACGGCGGGGGACTATCTGGCAGCGTGGGGTGATGCGTGCCGGCGGAGAAGTCGCCGGGAGTTAGCTGGAGGGTGTGGGGAGGTGCAGCAGTGAAAGACGGGCTGCAGCGCGTAGGCACCGCGAAGGGCGGTTGTACTCCTTTGCATCCCGCTGGTTGATGTGTGTGTGTGTACTTCGCTTTGGTGTGTGCTGAAACGTGACGAACAACACGCCCGCC